TATATTTTATAATTTATAGGATCTTGAAAAAATTGGGTACATCTCCTACACACCAATACTCGCAGCAAAACACCTTGCTAAGTTTTCTCAGAAAGACAAAGAGCAAATGTTAAAATACTTGATATAGCTTCAGGAACTGGCACTGTTTGACAAGAGGTTCAAAAAGAAGATGAAGAACATCGATATTCTGTCCCATATATGTCGTGATACAAAATTTGAATTCGAACAGTCGCAATTTTGTTCATTTCAACATTTGAATCGTGAATGTTGGTCTAATTATCGAAATATTGGTTCGAATCTTTTGAACTGTTAGTTTCGAATTTATAGCAGAGTAGATTATAATTTCAGAAGATAACAACATTTTGACGTTTTCATTGTTGGAAAATATCAGGTTTCGATCCCGGGAGCCAATCCTCTTTGTATATAAATTGCCAATATGAGTAAAGTTAATGTGATCAGAGCACATCACTGCTTCAAGTATTTTTTACAGATAGTTTAAACGGAAAACATACGTTTTGGAATATGACATGTCAGTGATTTTTGCAATACTTTTTTAACTCTCATTGTATTGGACTTAACACATATGTGAAGGTAGCTGGCTATATACAGGGTGTCCAATAAGTAAGGTGAAAGATATTGTAACTTTCTCAATATTGCACCAATCTTGATGAAATTTACAGAGTTTGTAGCCCAAACCTTTTTACCTTTATTCTGAGAATTTAAAGCGTCTTCTATTTGATTGTTTTAGACACATGCAATGCTGCTTTGGCAACGGGTTGTTTACCAATGCCCATGTGACGGAGGATTGTTTTCAAGAATTAATCCGCATTATCAAACCTGGTTTGTGAAGTTAAGCATTGTTTTATCATTTTTAGATATAAAACCAGAACAACGGCAACGCCAAAGCGTAGCGAATCCCATCAAACAGAAATGGCTGGCATTTTTACAAACCAAATATATAGCAAATATCATAAAACAGCACACCAGAAAGGCCACCATGCTTGGAGTATTCACATATCTAATATGAACAAAATCGCTCCACTACTTTTCGTCTTATAGTAAAAATTGTAAAAATGACAGCCATTTTTTTAAAATGGCCGCCTTCTATCCGAAGTATCATGAGACAGTGTGCAAGGCTCATGAGTATTCACATATCAAATATAAACAGAATCGCTTCACTACTTTTCAAGTTATAGTAAAAAATGTAAAAATGGTGGCCATTTTTCAAAATGGTGGCCTACTACCCAAAATGTCATGAGACAGTATGCCATGCTTATAGTATTCACATATAAAATTACGAAACATACCAAATATGAACAAAATCGCTGAACAACTTTTCAAGATATAGTAAAATACGTTAAAATGGGGCCATTTTCAAAATGGCCACCTTCTACCAAAAGTGTCATTAGAAAGTGTGCCATGCTTTTAGTACTCACATACCAAATATAAACAAAATCACACTACTACTTTTCGAGTTATAGTAAAATGCGTTAAAATGGCGGCCATTTTTCAAAATGGCCACCTTCTACAAAAGTGTCATTAGACAGTGTGCCATGCTTATAGTATTCACATACCAAATATGAACAAAATCGCTTCATTACTTTTTGAGTTATAGTAAAATACGTTAAAATGGCGGCCATTTTTCAAAATGGCCGCCTTCTACCAAAAGTGTCTTTAGACAGTGTGCAATGTTTATAGTATTCACTATTCACTATGAACAAAATCGCTCCACTACTTTTCAAAGTTACAGCAAAAATCGTAAAATAACGAGTAAAGGCCGCCATTTTTCAAGATGGCTGCCATGTGCTTTTTTAATATCTACATTTGTAGCTTTATTAATATCCTTTATAATTTTTCTACATTTAAAACATATTGCTATTACAGTTTTATATATTGCACCTAAATTACCGTAAAATCGGTACTAAAATGGCCGCCATTTTGAAATGAGCGGCCATTTTGAAAATCAGCTTTCGAGCAGATTTTCTACTCCCATAGGGTATATGTGTACAAAATATGAAAAAAATCGGGCAAACGGTATTTGAGTTATTGCCCGAACGGACGGACGTACGTACGGACGGACGGAGGCGTTCCCTATATCCCTCCAAACTTCGTTCGATGGGATAATAATTCAATTTTGTCATGACATGACCCCGCTCCCTCTACTATTACTAAACCGTTTTACTACATTTTCAGTGTCAGGGTCTGAATCCAAGATTTTCCTTTTCATAAATTCAATTTCATTAATTGTCCCTGATTTACAAACATATCAAATCCTTTGAAAGAAAGTTGAAGTTTGTTTTGTTGGTTCATTCCACGGCTGTCTGTTTCATGTCATTGTAAACACATGTTTAAATTCAAATTCTTAGAATAAATCAAAATACAAACATTCGATTCCAGGCGGCCTGCTTTTGATACAGATGCGAGCTGACAACGTTGGATGAGGCTGCCTTAGAACAACATGAAATTGACCAAAAATGGACATTGAAAAAACAAGAATATTTTCCAAATTGGTATTCCAATTATGTTAAACCATGATGATTTCGGGGCTGTATATAGAATAATTTAATTAATCAGCCTTGGTATGATATGCTAGTGACTATGCTAATTGAGGATCAATTTGGGGAAAACATTCTATCATTTTATGCAGAATATACCTTTTATATAAAAAATTAATCTCATTAAATCCCGGGCATTACATATGTATTAGTGAGCCGAGTGCGTTGGATTCTAAGACTTGGTGTAACCAAAAGTGTCAGTAATACAAAGTTAATGATGATTTATATTTCATCTTAGGATACATATATATATCTTATCAACTGTTTATATGGGAAACACATTACAACTAGAGAGATTTCGATCATCAGTGAAAGAACAACTTATATTATGCATATATAGCTTAACGTAAGTAGTATAAGAGAATGGAAAAGTGGCGTTTCGCAAAAGCATTGATTGTATTAGTATAGGAATAAATATATTTCACTGATCCATTCTAATGTTCCTTTCACAAAAATGAATTGTTTTCTTGTTTATAAAGAGGATTGGATATTAATATAACTATGATTATGATCTTCTTCGCAACAAATGATGACGTAGAACTCATATTTTTATAAGTTATAAACATAAGGGAATTCTAAACACGCTATTATACGTGTGTTGCGAAATCTCTCTATTTGTATAACAAATATACAGAAAGTCCGGTACAATTTTAGTACAAAACCTATTAGTAAATTCCTAATAGCATGTATCACGGGGAAGAGGCCTGGGGAGATGTGGCGCAAAAACTACACCCCTCCCTCCATAGGTTAGTATTCTCGAAATTTTTCATAAAATTCCATATTAAACCCTGTAAATTTTTTAATTCGATCTTTCCTCAGTTTCAATAGTTTCGGAAAGTCAAGTTTGATGTTTGTTCTGCCTAATAATAAGCCTAAACGGGCTTTGAAAAATGATACAAAATTGAACTTCCAGTGGCCAAACGTATGGAGAACAGTTTAAAAGCAATGACTCGCAGCTGTTCTATAGTTATGACTGTGAACTCCGAAAGTGCTTTTAGCCAATTTATCGAAACATAAGTTCAACTCTAAACACTAATTCGTTAACCAATTTGTTTAACAATCATTATAAAAACTAACATACTATACTCTTAATATACTTTATTATTCACACTTTAACTATTCTAACATCTAATGCATTTAACGTTAAATCTACTAGAGATTTGCCAGTTCAGTTTACAACATTAAGAATGAGGTATGCGTTAGAATTTAATAATAAAAATAGATTAGTGCTTTTGAAATATTTTGAAAAGTATGTCTCATGGAAGTATTAAATCCGCTTTGGCTTAAATTTTGCCTCGTATATATGGTTTTGCTTCACATATTAAAAATGTTAAACATAGCCTCGCATATTTCTTTTTGCCTCACATATTAATAATTCCATCACACAGCATTCACCTTCTTAATTCTAGTTTCAGATCAATTAAAATGTGTTTTATATGATACTAGCTTTATACGATACTGGCTTTATCAAAGGTAAGATTAAGGTAAAGGTAAAGCAGTATTTATCCAAGGAATTAAATTGATAAACTTATAACGAGGATGTACAACCATTAATTATAAGCAATGAATAACATGTATGTAATATTTAAGGTCTACGCTGTAAATTTCTATAAATAGTCCATCTGTATAGATTCTGCTTAAATATACAGAATTACAAAATAATGTTGAATAATTGATGCCAGTCTTTGTTTTATAAATGTAACAACATAGCGATAGTGCACTAAAAACTTTGCCAATGTTCAATACTGCCCTCAAACAGCATTTGTGATATATGACTCATAAGAAATATATAAAAAAAACTAAGCTTTATGTTTACCTGTACTCTAAGAGCGATCAGGAAAATTCTTAATAAATGGTGTACAGTTATTTTGGCAACATTTTTAGTTAGGTGGAAGTCTTGGATGACAATTTTGGCTGATATGGAATCCAATACAGGATCTGATACGGTATTTTGGCTGATATACCGATCTGATACAGGAATTTTTAATGTCCAGTTGTATTCCCAGTTTATTTCCCAGGGAAACATGTTATCATGGAATAATTCATATTACTGTACAGTTCTAAATCTTGATATTCCCTTCTTTCAAATATTCTATGGATATCATTCCATGTTTGAATTCGTTCAGTTGTGAATTATCGCACAATGGCATCAGGACATCATCCTACGTCAACATGGCATTTCATTGGTCTCAAATGGTCTCAAAAATATTTGCATAAACGCTACTAATTTTAATAATATAAATACAACGCCAAATTGCACTAAAACCCTACTACAAATCAAGCTCCTGAGGATCAAAAGCGACGAATATCAAATCGTTTCTACAATTTTATCTACAAATTGGTCTATCAAATCAAAAAGAACAATAGGAGTAGTTATTAAGTGGTTACTGTTTAACTAACTAAAGGGAAAATGCCAAAGTGTTTGACATATCTATACTTAATATACTAACCCCTACTATCACGTTTCTTGCATGTTATTGTAACTGCTACGCCTGGTTCACCTTTGCAAGTGTTTCTAGCGGCTCTCTTTGCCTCATCAAGCTCGTCATCCCTATCTTCGTATATTCCATCATAATATTTTTGGATAGGAAGTTTAAACGAAACAATCGCTGCAGGTGTTACTTTAGTTATTATCTTATCAATCAGACGAGAGGAAACATTCTCTACTTTACAGTCCGTACCTTCTACAAACACTTCTAGAATACTTTGATCGGGCTCGTAAAGAGCGCCTGTAAATATGTTCCCACTTCCTTTGAATTCGATACATGCCGTTTGATTAATGGTTTCGTCTTCGCGAATACCAAACATTTTCCCTTGTGTTTTCGGGTGACTTCCTTTGCTCACAATTCTTACTGATGATTCAACCCTCGTTGTATCAACGTCAACACGGACCTTCATATACCAAACTGAATATCTATTTGTCTCTTTTGGAAACCACATCAAAGGCCAAACACTTGTATCAGAACGACATTCCTGTAACTCCTTGCACACAGAATACTCAAATAATGAAACTGCACTTTGATAGAAACGGAAATGAGGGTCAACATTATTTGCTTTCAAACACATTACATAAGACACCGTACTTGGATACCTGCAATACCGGCTTTTACAAAATATACATTCCGGATAAGGTTCAGGCCGAGTTGCAGAGCAGTTCATACACAATGGTGAACTCTGACTGTAACAATTACTCTTGCTGCTATGATATACAGGGCCATTTGACGTGAGTGGGGAAATCGTTGTGTCAATGACTCTCCCTCGACTGGTAGTTGAACTGAGTTGATCAACTGTTAAACTTACAGCAGTTGGAGTAGATCCGCCGAGGTTTAACGAAGCGTTCAATGCACCCATTGCGTTGTGCATGGACAGGTAACCTTGGAATTGGGAATCAGCGCATACTGTTAATATGCAGTCTTCATTTGATTTAACACCTGTCCTCCAGTCTTGACTCATTCTTCCTGTGACAACACGTCCAGTGCCAGCTTGATCCAATGAAATAACAGTAGGTTCTAAAGAGTTGTCCCAGGGTAATGGTGTTGTTGATTCATCATCTGCATATAAATGCATTTTAACGAAGCAGTAATTTAACTGAGAGTTATCAAAGTTAAACCAGTAGCGATCTGTTATGACTGTGTCACCAATAAAAAAGTCTGTGGTGACAGAAGCCTTAATTGCTCGCTTTTTTCTGTCCGAAACTCGTCTCAAATTCCCTTCAAATTCCCATCTTGCCGAAGTTGGGTTAAATGACCAAAGCTTAACATTTGTTGCATTCTGCAGTTTCGCGCCTATGACGTCAGCACTGATAGCCATACCTACTTCCCCTTTGATGTTAAGTTCATTTCCGGTTGAATCACTAAATGCTAGATGGAACATTCCAAACGTTTGTAATAATCCGATTTCCCCATCGTCATTAGTGAATGTTAAATCGCCCACCATGGTACTCATGTCTTCATCATTCCGAGGGTCCAGAAAGTTCATAGCTGCTTGAACAGGACCATCGTATCTTGTACCATCAGCTTTATAAAATGACCCACCGGGAATGATGATCTCAGCAAATGAACTACCAGACGTTGAGTTAGCTAATGAAAGACTTGACGTTTCTGATGAAGAAATTTCAACAACTGTTGATTTTCTCAAAATGGGAATGTCTCTGTAGAATGTGCCAGAATAATCTTTGGGTATGTTAAACACCTTAGATGTCTCAATGAAGTTATTTTTGATGATCCATTCTTTAAAAGTGACTACGATCCTTGTCACTTCAAGACTGACTTCAAATTTAAAGTTACCATTATAATTTGTCGTTGCAACCTCTTCATCAAATAAATAAACCTTACCCAATCTAAGAGGAGAGCTTGTGTCAACTACGTCATGAACATATCCGCTAACAGTGACCTTACGGACAGTAGTTATGGTATTGCCAGTAACATTAACCTGATTACAAATAATACAACCACACTCCAAAGTCACTAAAATATCCAAGGAATAGTCCGTACATGTAATACTCCTCATTGTTTGACGTGTAGGTCCACAGCAATATTTGGATTCAGTATTAAACTTTGGCCGCTGGATGCACTCGTTTCTACGACACCGGCCGACCTCATACATTAGAGGATTTTCCCCACTCTGGGGACAATCCTTCGGCAACCTTTTAAACTGTTGTGAGGGTGATGTTTCACAGAAACTCCCACCGTCATCTAAAATGACACTTGCTTCTTCAGATTTATACAATATATTTATCTTTATAACAGTTATTCAAATATCCTCTATGATAAACCAATTCCAAAATAGATTTGTGCTTTTACAAATGAATAATTTGTAATGATTAAATTATGTTATAATACAAGAATGTCGAAACAAATACCTTTTACATCAAGGGAAGCAATGTTAGAGATTGCAGAGCTATAGTCGGAGCTAGCTTTACAATAATACGATCCTTTTTCGTCAGCACTGACGCTATCTAACGTTAACCTGTTAAGATTTGTTGATGAGTTGGTTGTTATCTGCTTTCCATTCTTGAACCTGTATATATAAACATTGACATTTTAGTAATTGATCCTCTAAGTGGGCTCTTCAGTGATTTCTGAATTATCTATGCTGAACTAGGATTCAAATACACCGTGGTATAGCTGAAACATAGTACTATACATTTTAGGAGGTGTATAGCCTTTTTATTATTTCGTGAAGCCACTCAGTAAAATTACGATTTCTCTGCAACCTGATGTCCAATCAAGATCATTCAAGTATCTATGTCCTGACACGTTTGGGCGTCCGGGAATACCGTTTAGCCAATATCCACGAGACGTGGCTCGTCTTTACCACTACCATTCAAATTGGTACTATCACTTCGTATATGGTGGAATATAATGACAGTATGTATTTTAAATATTAGTCATATAAAGCTTACCACTGATAAACGTTAGGTGGTGGTTTCCCTATAGCTCTGCAAGTGAAGTCGACGGAATCACCAGTGAGAGCTACCACATCTTGAGGATGACTTACGACTTCTATCGATTCTTTAATAAATAGGCGACTCTATTAATATTTTTTTATAAAAGCAAGCAATGTATTGCATTTTGTATACTATTTGAGTCAAATACTTTCTATATTAGTTTTTTGATAAAATATATCTTTAAGTTATGCGGCTTGGTTGTGATAATGAAAATTGGATGGCGAGTCGGATATTGCAGAGCACTATACATTGATATATTCTATATCAGTATCTTGATCTAGTTTATATGAGTTGTTGATTCCCATTTATCTTAAAACCCTAGATGCTGCAGTTTGTATTACCTGTTGTTTCCATGGTGACGATAATCGGATCGGAAGAGACCCCACCAACAGTTAGTATCAAATCCACATATTTCAACTTCTTAAATATCAACCAGTCCGATTTACAAAGATTATCAATGAATGTCCCATTTGAATCAGCGGTTGTTCCTAGTATGTCATATTGTATGTCTAGCCTTGCAACCGTCACGCCATCTATCGGTACCATTTTTGTGTTGAAAACTTGAATGTGTCTTATATTAGAAGGACATATGCAAGCTGTGCAGTTTTCATTTAAAAGTGTATTGCCTGGACATGCTTTTTCACAATCTGTAAACAGAACAATGGCTTGTAAACTTTGAGCAATTCAGTCTATTTCTCGTGCATAAATATTAATGTAATCAATTTGAGAAACACTTGTGAATGTTTTCTATTTATGTTGATGTAGGAAGGATTGCCCTTGCATGAAGAAGGCTTGTTATTTCAAACATTCATAAACATTCATTCTAGGTACTGTGCAACTTAGCTTCAATTTACCTGGACATTTCCCATTGTTGCAGATTCGTGTAATTGTGTCCTCTCCATCGCAATCAATGTCATCAGAAGACGTTTTTCGACAAAGTCTCGTTCTCGTCTGAGTTCCATTGTTACACGTGATACTGCAACGAGACCAACCACTCCATTTTGTCCATTCGCCATGAGTAACTGAATATGTAAATATTATTTGTGTGTAAACAAGTTATATCAAATCTTTCAACTTTAACTAGGTGTACTTTCTGTCATCAAAGGGCGGACAATAACATTTATTCGAACATGACTGTATTCATACCTTTTATAAACGGTAAACAAAGTTAACATTTCACCCGGGGTATATTTGCGAAGAATACCCCTGGTCATAAGTGTAATGTGTGGCGTCATAACGGCGGGTCGTAGTAATGGCGGACCATAATGAATAATCGAAACATTTTGTTGAGTTTTCATGTTCGAATCGTAATTTAGACCTCAAAGCAGGGGTTATATCGTCGAATACACCCCTTAGGGCTAGCCACAAAAGCTTTCGGTCGTTCGGGGTACAGAAAACGTTTGTGTCTAGCCTACGGGGTGTATTCGACAATATTGCCCCTGCTCGCCGTTCTATATTTCTTTATTCAAATTGTGTATATATTAGCGTTTACTATAATGAATCAGTGATGGGAGAAAGGGGTATTAGACGTTGTTTTACGATATATCCTGGTTTTGGATACATATGGTTTGTTTTTCTTATGAATGGTATCAACTAACCTTGTATTTGCGAATGCAACTAACGTCTGGCGGCTACTGGATTAACCTACTATTTTATGAGCAACTCATTTAAATGTGAATAGTACCTGCCACTGTTCCATTCATATTTAAATGAGTTGCTCATAAAATAGTAGGTTAATCCAGTAGCCAACCGGTTGCATAGTTGCATTCGCAAATGAAGCTTAGACTTTGCTTTTCTTGCTAGATTCCATTAAAATGTTTGGTCCTTTCCCTTTGGAATTTCAGCTTGTATTGTTTATATGATTACAGATTTGACACCGATAAAAATAAGAAATTAAAAATATATTAATATTTAAAATTAATATTTATAGACAATTATTGTTGAAACGTATTCTTTCAATCGAATGGCATGGCCTAAATTACCTATGAACGCTTCATTTTCATTGATCAAAGGCACTTCTGGGGTAGTCATCTTTTTGTTTTGTTCAACTGTTGTTGCGGCGTCTGATGTTGGAATGTTGTCTTTTTGTTTATCTGTTGTATCGGTATCTGATGTTGTGACCTTGTCATATTGTCCAACCGTTGTCGAAGCGGCTGGGGTTGTTACTTTGTCGTTTTGTTCAACTATTGTCGCGGCGACTGATGTTGTAATCTTATCGTTTTGTTTATCCATTGTCGAAGTATCTGATGATGTTATATCGTCGTATTGTCCAACAGTTGTTGAGGGATTTGATGTTGTATCATCATTGTATTTTTTGTCAACTATTGTCGAGGCTTCTGGTGTTGTCGGAACAGTATTTCTTGAAGAGGCTGTATGCGTTGCCAAGGTTGCAGCTTTTGTAACTATGCCCTCGGGTTTAGCTGTATTGTTGCTCTTTGTAGCATCTTGTCTTATATTACCTATATTTTTGGAAAACAAATTGTTTACGTGTTTGCCACGTTAACATGGATTAGTTTAACCACACTCGTTTTTATTTTACATAACTTTTCATATCATACGGCGTGAGGAATACTTTGGACAATATCTCAAAAGTAGTTTCTGGATGATCACTTTGTTTGAAATTGTTAAGAGTGTATATACTATAATTATGTACCTTCATTAATATCAATGACTATGGATATCTAATCATAGTATAAAACTTTTTGAACAAACATTATGTCGTCAGGTTGTGTGACTATCAAAATTCAAATATTATGAGTACGAAAATTATCAGCCATTTGAACACGTTTTGAAATGTATACAGAATACTAAAAAATTAATAAAAATGTACTTTGAATGGGACTGACACGTATCTTGAGGTTGTTTATATAATGCTATTAACTCAATCTAATATTAGCACCGGGTGAAAGTCACATCCGGTGATCGGACAGAATGAACGAGGGGGACGCGAAAAACTCCAATTTTCCCATCTTTCACTCTTTAGATATGATACATTTATTTTCTTCCTAAGTTACCGAGTTCATTTTTCAAATACGCGAATTCGTGTAAACTTGTTCCATCTTAAAGATGTATTAACCCCGTCTCCCTTCAATCCTCCCCCTCGGTTCAATTTCAACTTTTTCGATTATATTTTGAATAACGTATGGGAGCTAACTTTGAAAAGCCGAGAATGACATTATTTTTGTTATAATAACGTAGACAATTGTTGCCTGATTTATAGCAAAATCATTGAGTTTTGGACCTTGATGACGATTTGCCTTTTTAATAGATCTCATTTCTTAGAAGCGCGTCAGTTCCCAAAAAATCTGGTAAGACCTAACATTACATATGTAACCATACCGTGCGCCTATTCAATTAGCAATATAATTGTAAACTTTTCCTTGATGTCTTTAATTTATTTTACAGAAATTGCTGCACCCCCCCCCCGTTCATTCTGTCCAATCACTGGACATGGAAGTAGAATTGTTGTTTCTGAGTCCAGCCTCGGGACATGAGGATTATATTTATCTATACCCATTTACATCGGATCCACGTTTGCCCATTGTTTAATAAATAATTTTAGCACGTGCTCACCTCTAAAGACACCTGTAAAGTACAGACCAAGGCCGACGCCTGCAAATGCAATAACTAAAACTGCGGCGACAGACACAACTGTCTTTACCATTCCTCCGCAAAATGGAGAATTCTTTGCTGCAGTCGAGCTTGGCGAGATCTGATTTTTTGTAGTCGAAGACAAATTCTTGCCTTGATGGTTTCTACCATAGTCACTATAATCGATGTCGAATCGAATATCCAAATTTTGATCATATTTATATTGAGAGCTTGTCATTGTCGATATTCTAACAAATTTATTAAATAATGTGCCTCATATTTCCCAAAATATCAATGATTTGTGATATTGAGATGCGTCTAGCTATTCTTTTGAACACTGTCTTTAATTCAGCTATCATATGCAAGAATACACAAAATTGAGAGGACGCACAATTTAATATCTTGTGTTGCTATAGACTGGCCAATTAAATAATTTAAAGACATTTTACTTCCTTCAATCGAAGCTTTCCAAAAATTTGGAACGTGATATATTTGAAGAATATTTTGTGGGACATTGTCATAGGAATGAATGACACTTAGTTATTACTGCCTACTTGCAAAGATAAGTGTTTCTTTTAGATATGTAAGTCCTTCTGTTTACTTAAAATGGATAAATATTTAATGACAACTACAAACAGGTACCAAAAGTAAACATTTTAGAAGATTATGTTGCAGTGCCAGAAGATGAAAACAAACATAAATGATGATCCTTTTGATGCTTTTTAACATAATTGAGAGCAGAATTAACAATCGACTAAATTGAAATAGAATTTGTTGTGAGGCCTCTTTTAAGGCGATGGCACGGCGCCAGTAGCTTATGATATTCGAGAGAAAATTATAGCACAAAATAAAGGGATTATCTGTACGATGTAGATTTTATACATCGACTTTTGTGAAGCTACGGCCGGCGTAGGACTGCCGTAGAACCACCGTATGTTAAAATGAACTTGATTTCACTCAATATGATACCAATATGCGCGGTATGTACCGGTGTATAGGATGGTCCAAAAATTGGAACTCATCGCACAACAACTTTACATCCCAATCACATTTGCTCTTTGGAGATCGCACGTATACTATTTTACTTTTAAAGGACCACGAGTTGTTTGTAGAATGAGCCTGGGGAGCTTTTTCATGCATTTCGCTTGTGTTTTTCATCTTAAAAACATCGATACACTTTAAAATATTCTATTGACTATAAGATTGCACCATATAATCTTAAAAAAATGTTTCTCATTTTCAAAGATTATCTATGGATTAACACCCAAGTATTGTTATTTTTCAAACTTCAGAGGGCTGGGAATCGTCATTGCGATCACTTTTGAATAATATTGATGCTGTTCTAAATGGGTTTCAGGTATGCCAATAATATCTCAAATTGTGTAAATGGTACCCCTTCCTTAATCTCAAAATTTTTATCTTTGCTTTGAGGAATTGCCCATAGTAATCCAATGGTATAGTTCGAAGCATATTTTGAGATAACAGGAAAGTTAATCATTAATACACACCTCATTGGCTCGTGATATAAACCAAAACAACCCAATAAGGTGTGTATTAATGATAAACTTTCCTGTTATCTCGAAATCTGCTTACCATTTGATTACTTTGGGTAATTCATCAAGAGAAAATTCTATGGATTAAGGAAAGGGTACCGTTTACACAATATGAGAAATTATTGGCATACATGAAACCTATTTAATTTAAATCACCATTAATATTATTCAAAGGCGATCGTTATAATGATTCTTAGCCCACTGAAGTTTGAATAACAACAATACCTGGGTGTTAATCCAGAGATAATCCTCGAAATGAGAAATATTTTTTGGGATTATATGGTGCAATCTTACTAGTCAATTAATTTTTAAAAAATGTATTGATGTTTTTTAGATGAAAAACACAAGCGAAATGCATGAAAAACTACCCCGATTCATTTTACAAACAACTCGCGGTCCTTTGAGACCTTTTTTTAATCCTTTTATATATAGCTGCAGTCCATATTATAAAGTAGAGATATAAAAAAACTCATAAATGAATATTTGTGTTTATTTAGTTCTTGTTATCAGACATGTTCAATCAAAAAGTAAACATGGTTTTCAATACCGATTGTGTATTGTACAAGCGATTCTTTAGACTTGAGTCATGCTGTTCACAAAACGTTATCCAAATATTTATGTAAAACAATATTTATTTATACTGCAATTTATGCTAATATATAATTTATTGTAGAAATACTTTCAAATAATATTTCATATATGCAGAATTCCTGGTTACCCTGGTTTGTTTACAGCCAAAATAAATTAAAACCATTGTTTTTATTTTTGGCCCTATAAATCCCCTTTCCATTGAGAATTTTAAATAATTTAAAAATGGAATTGGTTATATATATTTTGAAAAGCTTCCGATATTTTCAAGCACCGGTGATCAGTGATTTCATTGTATGTGTATGCATGCGACGTTAATATTTGCATTTTGAATATACAGGGTGGTCCAAAAAAATTGGAACATTTGTTAATTGAACTCAAAATCATTATTTTTTCTCTAAAATGCACCAAAATTTTACTGAGTATTATTCAATCACTTATTTATCTGATGTAAAGTTTATAGGTGCAAACAACAAAGTTAATGCACTAAACTAGAGAATGTTTGATCTGACCTCTTTTCTCCTGAATTACAAGTTGACGCCTGAGACTCAGTTTTGAAATGATTCATTCACTTTGCTGTTCCTTTGATTTTGTCCAAGCCATCTTAATTAAATAATCCAGCTTGAACAAATCACTTATATGTTTGCCTTAGAAGATCAAATATATGAACATATTCAACATTTTTTTACCCAAATTGAAGGGTATCAAGCATATTTTGATGGCTATTGTTGGATATATTACTGATTGAATATTCTCCAGAAAGAGGCCAGGGCAGTCTGTTTTGACTGGTAAATGAACCCCCTCCCCCCTTTCTTGTTCTAATATGAATAATATTCATTGAATATATCGACATATGTATATCAATATCATAAAGGAGTTTCCCAGAACACAAATGATATATTATATTATATCTGCTTAGAGGTGGTCTTTAATAAAGCCTTGTAAATAACTAGTCAGTTTCCCCTCTACTGAAAAGTGGAAACAATGATTTGTCAGTTTAGTAGCTGTATGGGTTATACAATCACTCACCTCTGACATGTTCTTTCTTTCCTACTATTAAATAAAAATAATGATTTTGGGTATTCTTAAGTTGACAATAACACAATAGTTTTCCAGTAAACCATAGATGTTAATACCTCATGTCAACTAAATATGATTTTATAAAATGTGTATAGCAATCAACATGTTCATTAAAGCTTTGAAATAAAGAATACTTGAAAAAGTAGCTGCGAAATTGACAAGTGTATATTTGAGAAAAGGGGGTCATATCAAACATTGGCTAGTTTAATGCATTAACTTTGTGGTTTGCACCTATAAACTTTACATCAGAGAGATAAGTGACTGAACTATGCTTAAGTAAAATTTTGGTGCATTTTAGAGGAAAAATAAAGGTTTTGTGTTCAATTAGCAAATGTTCCAATTTTTTTTGGACCACCCTGTACTATGTGCATGAAGTCAATATATCAGTGCAAAATCAATGTATGTCTAATGTATGCATGCAACGTCAATATCTGCATTTAAAAGGCATAGCGTGCGTGTAGTTAATATGTGCGTCAAAATCAATGTATGTCTATATGCATACGACGTCAATATCTGCATTTTGAAGTTATATTGTGCGTGTAGATAATATGTGCGTGCAAAATCAATGTAAGTGTATGCATGCGACGTTTATATCTGCAATTAGAAGGTATAGTATGCATGAAGTCAATATGTGCATACAAAATCAATGTAAGTGTATGCATGCGACGTTTATATCTGCAATTAGAAGGTATATTGTGCATGTAGTCAATATGTGCGTGCAAAATCAATGTAAGTGTATGCATGCAACGTCAATATCTGCATTTAGAAGGTATATTGTGCATGTAGTCAATATGTGCGTCAAAATCAATGTATGTGTATGCATGCAACGTCAATATCCGCATTTAGAAGGCATAGTGTGCGTGTAGTCAATATGTGCGTCAAAATCAATGTATGTGTATGCATGCAACGTCAATATCCGCATTTAGAAGGCATAGTGTGCGTGTAGTTAATATGTGCGTCAAAATCAATGTAAGTGTATGCATGCGACGTCAATATCTGCATTTAGAAGGTATATTGTGCATGTAGTCAATATGTGCGTGCAAAATCAATGTAAGTGTATGCATGCAACGTCAATATCTGCATTTAGAAGGTATATTGTGCATGTAGTCAATATGTGCGTCAAAATCAATGTATGTGTATGCATGCAACGTCAATATCCGCATTTAGAAGGCATAGTGTGCGTGTAGTTAATATGTGCGTCAAAATCAATGTAAGTGTATGCATGCGACGTCAATATCTGCATTTAGAAGGTATATTGTGCATGTAGTTAATATGTGCGTCAAAATCAATGTAAGTGTATGCATGCAACGTCAATATCCGCATTTAGAAGGCATAGTGTGCGTGTAGTTAATATGTGCGTCAAAATCAATGTAAGTGTATGCATGCGACGTCAATATCTGCATTTAGAAGGTATATTGTGCATGTAGTTAATATGTGCGTCAAAATCAATGTAAGTGTATGCATGCGACGTCAATATCTGCATTTTGAAGGTATAGTGTGCGTGTAGATAATATGTGCGTGCAAAATCAATGTATGTGTATGTACGCAACGTCCATATCTGCATTTAGAAGGCATGGTGTGCGTGAAGTCAATATGTGGGCGTGCAAAATCAATGTATGTGTATGTATGCAACGTCCATATCTGCATTTAAAAGATAAAGCATGCATGAAGTCAATATGTGCGTGCAAAATCAATGTATGTGTATGTATGCAACGTCCATATCTGCATTGTAGTCAATGTGGGCGTGCAAAATCAATGTATGTATATGCATACAACGTAAGTATCTGCATTTAGAAGGTATATTGTGCATGTAGTCAATATGTGCGTGCAAAATCAATGTATGTGTATGTATACAACGTCCATATCTGCATTTACAACGCATAGTGTACATTTAGTCAATATGTGAATGCAGGATCAATAATGTTATTAACTTTTATCACTATTTAAAGGGGGCAGCACGGTCAGTTTGCTAAGCACCAACTGATCAATCATCTCTAAATTCGCATTACTACGTTTTTCTCGTCTCAGCTTTTGTACAGCTTACCACGTCACAATGCTTTTACTTGTTTGGTTTTGTTTCTTTGTATCGGTTGGTATGTTGTGTTTGATCATCAGGCAGCCTGTACGTGACAGTTTGAGGTTGAATGCCTGAAACGTTACATATTTATTACAAATCTGCTGCCTAACGCCCACACAGATTAACTGCTGGTTTTGACGTCTAAACTTTCAATAGAAAGACGCCAATATAGCATTATGGCTATTACACCGTGTATTAGTTTCTTATCTATTATCACAAATATTAAAAATGACGTAAATATTGTAAAAACGTTTTATAAAATTTTGACTATCTAAAAGTCTTAAATGATACCATATCCTTTTTGTAAGGGTTTCCCTAGTATCAGATTTCCGGCTACTGTAGTGCCTCCAGTAAAACCTCTCTCCTGCAAAAGAAAAATGTTCACATTTTGAATGTTAATTGCTTATAGGCTCTTATACATCAGAGAGATGTTCACATTAATACGTTTAACTTTCCTAGTACAAAGTATAGAGAGCAATGGTATGTTAAAAACATGATAATGAGATGAGTATTTCTACAGTTTAACATTGACTAAGGATATACATGGAAGAACTATAGCCTGGTAGCCGACTGACAGCCATTAAAACTTGCGAAGAGTGTACGAGAAATACAAACGTGATGGTAGTTTTTGAATAATAATCAGACATTTATCGTAGTGACCAGGGCGACTATACAACAAAACTGTGACATTAGTTGTACAAGTGATACACTCTATAATACTATAACCGAAAAGACTGGGAGCGATTTGGACATTTCTCACAGGATTGATACAGTTGACTGCGTCATGATTAATACTCTTGACTTCAACTTGTATAAACCAGTGATGCCCGAGAAAGCAAAAACATAAATATCAAACATTCTAACTGATAACATGGATGATAAACCAATGCTCACCAAAGACGTTTAATGAAATTGCATGGATAATGATGAGGATGAATTAAACGAACCTGTTTTAAATTATTTGAGCAGGTCCAATTCAAACCAATTAATATGCAGCAAGAGATGGATCCATATGAAACATCTACTGGTGATTGTGAAAGTGCAACCTTGTCAAAATCAAGTGTTGAAAAAACAGCAAATGTAACTACAATAAAACAGAAGGGTCAACATGAATGTGATGTCTGTCATAGAGTATGTAAACACAAGTCTAAACTTGAACGACATTATAGAATTCATACTGGAGAGAGAAATTTTAAATGTGACGTTTGTTTAAAGACATTCACCTGTAAATCTGGCCTAACGATACATTCTAAGATCCATACTGGAGAGAGAAATTTTAAATGTGACGTTTGTTTTAAGACATTTACACTTAAATCTGGCCTCGTGACACATTTTCTGACCCATACTGGTGAGAGAAAATTTAAATGTGATGGTTGTTACAAGACATTTAAATCCAAATCTAATCTTGTAAGACATTTTAACATACATACTGGGGAGAGAAATTTTAAATGTGACGTTTGTTTAAAGACATTTACCCGTAAATCTAGCCTAATAGCACATTCTAAGATCCATTCTGGAGAGAGAAATTTTAAATGTGACGTTTGTTTAAAGACATTCACCTGTAAATCTGGCCTAACGATACATTCTAAGATCCATACTGGAGAGAGAAATTTTAAATGTGACGTTTGTTTTAAGACATTTACACTTAAATCTGGCCTTGTGACACATTTTCTGATCCATACTGGAGAGAGAAAATTTAAATGTAATGTTTGTGGTAAGGCTTTTACAAATAACTCTGGCCTAGTAGCACACTCTAAAACTCATTCTGGAGAGAGAAATTTCAAATGTGATGTATGCCTGAAGACATTTAATCTAAAATATCGCCTTACAAAACATTATGAGATCCATACTGGAAAGAAAAATTCTAAGGTTCATACTGGAAAGAGAAATTTCAAATGTGACATTTGTTTAAAGACATTTACAGAAAAATCTATCCTTCTAACACATTCGCATATTCATACTGGAGATGGAAATTATAAATGTGATATTTGTTTGAAGACATTTCATACAAATTCTTCCCTTGTAAGACATTCTATGGTCCATGGAGAGAAATATTTCAAATGTGATATTTGTCTAATGACTTTCAGTGCCAAATCTACCCTTCGAAAACATCATCAGATACATACCGGAGAGAGAAACTTCAAATGTGACATCTGTTTAAAGACATATACAAATAAGACAAACCTCGAATCCCATTCTAAGATCCATACTGGAGAAAGAAATTTCAAATGTGGTATTTGTCTAAAGACATTCAGGCACAAACCTTCTCTACGTACACATTCTAACATACATACTGGAGAGAGGAGCTTTAAATGTGATATTTGTCTAAAGATATTTAACCAAAAGTCTACCCTTGCAACTCATACTAGGATCCACACTGGAGAGAGAAATTTTAAATGTAACGTTTGTTCAAAGACATTTACCCAAAAGTCTAGCCTCGTAAAACATTCTTATATCCATACTGGAGAGGGAAAGTTTAAATGTGATACTTGTGATAAGACATTTAGCAGAAATGATCACCTAGAGAAACATCATGCAAGTCATACTGAATAGAAGAATTTCAAATGTGATGTTTGTCTGAATACATTTAATCGAAAATCTAACCTTGCAACACGTTCTAAGATCCATACTTGAGAGAGAATTCCCAAATGTTACGTAAAATGCATTTACTGGCAAGTCTGTCTTGTCTAGAATGTAACAATACAGTACACGATTTCACCAGTATGTCAAAATCCGTATCTCCCTTTAAAAGGCCTACGAATCTGACCTCTTGTCAAGATGTCCTAGTTCGTACTTGCGAATGCAACTAACGGGTGGCGGCTACCACATGAATCTACTATTTTATGACCAACTCATTTAAATATGAACTGAATATTGGCAGATTCTATTCATATTAAATGAGTTTCCCATAAGAGGTAAGTTGATTTGTTAGCCGACAGGCGTTAATTACATTCGCGAATACAAGCTTAGTTTGTTAAATATTTTTTATCTACTCATTATATCACAGTGATCATGGGACAACATACATTTTTAAAAGTTTTCAAAAGTTCGATGTCGGATCGGAAATTTTAAAAAATCTACTTTTGACTTTGAACCCCCCCCCCCCCTCTCCCAAAAACTAAATATCAACGAAAGTTGATCATTGACTTCCGGTTTGAGAATTCCTATCGTAATTTGCAGTTTTTAACAAATAACTTAACAAAAATAATTTAAGAAAATTGCAAAAATGTGAAATGTTGATAAGCAAACTTGGCTTTGGACCCCTTCCCCTTAACTAGATTTATTTAGTTCTCGATCCGACATCGAACTTTTGATGCCTCTCCATACATACATCGATGATTGGTGTATGTAGTGTACTAATTTTGATATCATGTAAATACTTGTATATATGAGACTAACACCCTTCATACCCTTGTAATATGTCTGGGTCACATTCGCACTATATGGTGTTTCATTTGGTGTCAGTATTAGCGATGTATTATAATATAATTGTGTATACGTTTTTCTCGATAAATAAAATAAAAACTAAAATGTTCGCTGCTATTTTGTGACACTATTTCATTTATACACTATCCTTCAATAAACAAAACTAAATCATTATCGGCGACGTGTTGCCGTATGCTTTGTGCACTTCGAGTTGTTTCCCGTTTGTAAAGCCTTTCGAAGAGCTTTAAATAAAACCCGGTGCATTTCTCTCGACTGAAATATGGCTCTTCAACATATGGTAGCACAATCAAGACCCCTCTGGATCTTTTTTTGCATAATGAGTTTCACCTCAAATTCATGATCACCCATCTACTTACCAACGAAGAAGTCTCAAATCCCCCACTTAAAGTGGAAATTTTGCGATTGTGCTGACCGATCTAATTATTTTCGCGGAAATTGATTCAATCTGAAGTTTGAATATACCGGGAACATCCCCTTGTTATATGATTGGTCTTTCAATATGTTGATTTTTTCAATATTTCGGCAATAATATACCCATGAATTATTCTCAAGAGATATCCATAGCATGTGAGATATTACAATTGTATGAGCAATAACAATGGGACATCATTGATTGTCCGGGCGAGAAACCTATGGTATACTGCATTTTTAAAATTATTTGTGTATATACATGTATTATATTCTTGTTTTTGAGAACGATTTTTGTTTTTCAGTGAATTTTAAGTTATACAGGATGACACAAAAAGTGTCAAACACGTCAAGTTGAATAACTTTTTTTTATCTATATGATTATTGACTTCTTCTGTTGCACATTCAAACTAAACTTCATGGAGCAACTCTACAAGAAGTTTCAGATGACAAGATCAATTATCTTGACTTTTATGATGGTTACAAGTTGTGATCTAAATGTCATTCATTCCATTGCAGGCACACTTCTGGATTCTACTGGCAAATAAATTAACTATATTCGCCTAACATAAACCCGCAAGATTTGTGTTATCTCTGGGGGTACTTGAAGGATCATTTGTATGTAACAAACCCCCAAACCATAGAACACCTAAAGATAGAGATCACAAAAAAGATCAGGGCTATTCCTGTAGGGGAATGTGTTAGGGTTTTCAACAACTTTACCCATAGAATCCAGGTGTGTGTGGCATTTAGGGAAAATCTTATGACGCTCATGAAAATGTCTCCATTTGAGGTCCAACAATCTTACGAAACAAGCTTGTTTAAAATATGTATCAAAGAAAACTAGCTATATAACTAGCTAGTAGCTATCAATGGCATATTACACGATGATGCGTAAAAAACTACATGCATTTGTATAGGGCAACTTGTGCGTACATGTTGACTTTTCGATTTTATATGCATTGCTCAACGGTCTCCATTATCAGCAAGCAGACCATGTATGTATGCACTGTCAATGTGTATATGCAATGTCAATGTGTGCATACAATTAATGCAAAAGTGTCAACATGAGCAAGCAGACCATGTATGCATCGTCAATGTGTATATGTATCGTCAATGTGTATATGTAATGTCAATGTGTGTATACAATAAATGCAAATGTGTCAACATGAGCAAGCAGACCATGTATACCACGTCAATGTGTATATGTAATGTCAATGTGTACATACAATAAACGCAAATGTGTCAACATGAGCAAGCAGACCATGTATGCATCGTCAATGTGTATATGTATCGTCAATGTGTATATGTAATGTCAATGTGTGTATACAATAAATGCAAATGTGTCAACATGAGCAAGCAGACCATGTATACCACGTCAATGTGTATGTGTAATGTCAATGTGTGCATACAATTAATGCAAAAGTGTCAACATGAGCAAGCAGACCATGTATGTAACGTCAATGTGTATATGTAATGTCAATGTGTGCATACAATAAATGCAAATGTGTCAACATGAGCAAGCAGACCATGTATGCAACGTCAATGTGTATATGTAATGTCAATGTGTGCATACAATAAATGCAAATGTGTCAACATGAGCAAGCAGACCATGTATGCATCGTCAATGTGTATTTGAAATGTCAATGTGTATATGTATCGTCAATGTGTATATGTAATGTCAATGTGTGTATACAATAAATGCAAATGTGTCAACATGAGCAAGCAGACCATGTATACCACGTCAATGTGTATATGTAATGTCAATGTGTGCATACAATAAACGCAAATGTGTCAACATGAGCAAGCAGACCATGTATGCATCGTCAATGTGTATATGCAATGTCAATGTGTGTATACAATAAATGCAAATGTGTCAATATGAGCAAGCAAACCATGTATGCAACGTCAATGTGTATATGTAATGTCAATGTGTGCATACAATAAATGCAAATGTGTCAACATGAGCAAGCAGACCATGTATGCAACGTCAATGTGTATATGTAATGTCAATGTGTGCATACAATAAATGCAAATGTGTCAACATGAGCAAGCAGACCATGTATGCATCGTCAATGTGTATATGCAATGTCAATGTGTGTATACAATAAATGCAAATGTGTCAATATGAGCAAGCAAACCATGTATGCAACGTCAATGTGTATATGTAATGTCAATGTGTGCATACAATAAATGCAAATGTGTCAACATGAGCAAGCAGACCATGTATGCAACGTCAATGTGTATATGTAATGTCAATGTGTGCATACAATAAATGCAAGTGTGTCAACATGAGCAAGCAGACCTGTATGCATCGTCAATGTGAATATGCAATGTCAATGTGTATAGGTTATGTCAATGTGTGCATATAATAAACACAGATGTGTCAACATGAGCAAGCAGACCATGTATGCATCGTCAATGTGTATATGAAATGTCAATGTGTATATGTAATGTCAATGTGTGCATACAATAATCGCAAGTGTGTCAACATGAGCAAGCAGACCTGTATGCATCGTCAATGTGAATATGCAATGTCAATGTGTATAGGTAATGTCAATGTGTGCATATAATAAACACAGATATGTCAACATGAGCAAGCAGACCATGTATGCATCGTCAATGTGTATATGCAATGTCAATGTGTATATGTAATGTCAATGTGTGCATACAATAAATGCAATGTGTCAATATAAGCAAGCAGACCATGTATGCATCGTCAATGTGTATATGTAATGTCAATGTGTATATGTAGTGTCAATGTGAATATATAATATCAATGTGTGCATACAATGAATGCAAATGTTTCAATATGAGCAAGCAGATCATGTAGGCATCGTCAATGTGTATATGCAATGTCAATGTGTATATGTAGTGTCAATGTGTATATATAATGTCAATGTGTGCATACAATGAATGCAAATGTTTCAATATGAGCAAGCAGATCATGTATACATCGTCAATGTGTATATGCAATGTCAATGTGTATATGCAAAGTCAATGTATGCATACAATAAATGTAAACGTGTCAACATGAGCAAGCAGACCATGTATACATCGTCAATGTGTATATGCAATGTCAATGTGTATATGTAATGTCAATGTGTGCATACAATAAATGCAATGTGTCAATATAAGCAAGCAGACCATGTATGCATCGTCAATGTGTATATGCAATGTCAATGTGTGTATGCAATAAATGCAAATGTGTCAACATGAGCAAGCAGACCATGTATGCACCGTCAATGTGTATATATAATGTCAATGTGTGCATACAATGAATGCAAATATTTCAATATGAGCAAGCAGACCATGTATACCACGTCAATGTGCTATGGCGGATCCGGGGGCCCGGGCCCCCCCCTTAGGTTGGCCCAGAAAAAAAAAAGTTGGGCTCTAAAAATGTTAGTCCAAAAAAGCCCTCAAGGCCCCAAAAAGTGGGCCTTTTGGTCATATTGGGCCTTCCAAGGCCTTATTTTTTAATTTTAGGCCAAATTTTGAAGAAAATGGGCCTCAAATTTACAAAATTTGGGCCCACTTTTCAGTTTTAGGGGCCCAAAATGTTTTGTATTAATTGTATGCACACATTGACATTACATATATACATTGTGTATATGTAATGTCAATGTGTGCATACAATTAATGCAAATGTGTCAACATGAGCAAGCAGACGATGTGTACATGCACCGTCAATGTGTAAATGCAATGTCAATGTGTGTATACAATAAATGCAAATGTCTCAATATGAGCAAGCCGATCATGTATGCATCGTCAATGTGTATATGCAAAGTCAATGTATGCATAAATTAACTGCAAATGTATCAATATGAGCAAGCAGACCATGTATGCAACGTCAATGTGTATATGCAAAGTCAATGTATGCATATAACAAATGCAAATGTGTCAATATGAGCAAGCAGAGTCAAATTCGTGTGTAGCCAATTATTGATTTGTGGTTTCGTTTCTAGTTCCGGTTTTAGTTTTATTTAAGAGA